GCAGTGGAAACTGGACAAGTTTATGACCTGGACGGAGTGAAATTGATTTCGCTACAAGTAAAAGAACAAACAAACCTGAACAGAAGGTACACCTTTGGAAGAAAGAGGTTTAAACTTGATGAAAACTAGATCCATTTTCACGCTGAACACCACAAAGGCCCTGCATCCAGCATGTTGTAGGAAACAAGGTAACATTTTAGTTGGTAGCTCCCCTAGTACTGTGGCCACTGTTAGATTTTAGTTCAGTTTGATGTCGTCAAACTTGGATGAATATACTTAAATAACCGCTATATGCTAAATTTAACTATTTTAATTAAGAAGAAGAGGATGCGACCATTAGAATAAGAGTTTTATTTTCCTGACTTTTCGGACTCTGTCGGGAATCCTTAATCATAGGTAATGGTAGCATAGTCATAGTCTCTTTGGTATATGGGAGCCTAACTAGCCGAATATTTTACAAAAAGATTATTTGCACATGTTATTCTACTTGTGCTGCTTTTTTCACTCGTTTGTTTTGCATGAACATGCTTTACCTACATTTAAAACTTAGCTTTACCCAGTAACCTAATTTTCATCTTTGCGGAATTTTCCACATTTCTAAAATAACTGCTATTTCCAAGCAACTTAATGTTACCTGACAAACCACAATATGTTTTCTTCTTAGTATAATGCTTACTTTACTGCGCTAAGACTTCCAGGGAGCGCAGCTTAGGCTGTTTTTGCCTCCCAGGGATTTTCTAGCAAAGAATCCGTGGATTTCATGAGAAACTGTATAAGTCCTGTCACTGAAGAGTTCGCGGTTCATGCACCTTAGGATATCTCATTTAACTGTCTGTTGGGCATCCAATCGTTTGTAGTGTAACACTTATCCCCCTTTTATTAGCATACGCGAAACGAATAACTTACTTTCAGGCTTCATTATTCTCCGTTTGCACGACTCTATGCAAATTTGAGCAGAATCGTATGTATTGACACTGCCGCCGCAGCCAGAATACACGAAGCTCTCACAATCACTGATGTGCTGATTGAAGTACCATCGGACCAATCGTTTCGGCGCACATCCTTTTCCGGTGGCGTTCTGGCATTCGATTGGTTGACAGCTGCCGGCTAGGGGCTCAATCCGACAGGGCTCGATATCTGAAGGAAGACAGTTAGGCGGAGAGGGGAGATAAGAGACCAAACAGGGGAGATAAGGAGTGTCCTTAAATTATTAGCCTCCTAATAACTCACTCACCGCTTCTAAAGTAGTATAGATTCCCTAATTAACATAACAAGAAAATTTCCTTTGACCTTTAGGGCAGCTCCTGCCCTATTTGGTATCAAATTAATGAGATTCTGGAGGGTATCTAAAAGGTTGTTTCCACAGGCGTCTAGCAGAGATCTCTCCAATCCAGCAACAGAAGTTGGAACAGACAATTTCAGAACCACGTATCACCCGTCCAAACTGCTAAAAGCATTCGATCACTGCATGGGTATATTCAGCTATCTGCGAAACTGGCCCTCAATCGCATACATGCAATCAGAGGCCCCAACCAAACCTGCAGCATGCATGCACTTCATTCTCTTAACGTTAGTGTAGCAAACGGAATGCTTTATTTAAATTAGGTGATAAGTCTGGTTCCTGAAGAAGTCATTCGGTATCTCATCCACTACACTTAACTGTTTGGCTCGAACAATTGCTGGTACCTGGGGATGGGAAGGTAGCATTAGGTCGCTTTCTCATCGAATTATCCTTACTATAGACACTCTAATGCGCTTGAAGTTCTCGCGGTGAACTGAAAGCCGTGGCGTGGAAGGTGGCTAACTGAGGAGTTGAATCGGACCGCGCCGTCAGCTCAGTATATATAGTGTTGTATAGAATCAGTCTGCAATGGCTCCTTCTTAATATGGTCAATGTGTCATTTCCAGGTGTGGAGGTGTAGTGACTAGCTCGTGTCAAAAGGAACTCCGCTAGGATCTAACGACTGTGGTTCTCGACTTCTGCGAGCAGCCAATCACAGATGCCGCAAAGCTGGCCCTTAGCACGGCGACTAATAGCATGCCTGTACGCGTTTTCGACGTGATCTGTCCGTCTGGCCAAAAACCTTCAAGGCTGACCCAGCCAATGAACGCTCTCTCTCTCTGGCCTTTGGCATTCCTGCAACTAAGCGGCATTTGAGACCTGACTAGCTTCCTAGCTGGTCGTGCACTCCCAAGTCAAATTTCTTCCCTATTATTCTTCGTTCCTCTGTGCACACAATATACTGTTCCTATTACTCTGGCCTCTGCGGACTTCTCCTCTGAAGATTGCAGTAGCTAGTGTTTAACTTACTTAACCCCCGGCGAGAGAGGCACGCCTAATGGCGGTTCCGGCCGCGCCAGCCACCTGCGTCAATTTGACTTATCCGTGACATCGGGCCCGTTTCCGAAAGCTAAACAGCTTTGTAGTCTGGGAAGCTGTTGGGGCACTTGAGTGCTTCAAATCGGCCCGAGGGAAGCTGCAACGTGCTGCGTGATTGAAGCAGATAATACACCGCCTTGTGATTGGCTACCAAGTTTCACCCTTTTTAAAGTTTAGAACTAGAGGTTAAAACAATCATGATAGTGCGAACACTGGTTAATACTGATCAACACTGCGGCCTAAATTAGCCTCAGCCAGGGGATGTATAAAAGCCCTAGCACTCTAGCAGGTCAGTCACTAGACCACCTCACTTCCTATCAAAAGTCATCTCTGCGATTTTTATCTCTTGGAGCGGTCTGCAGTCTCCCTACTCTCTGCCGGCCGTGTTTATCTGCCTATACTACTAGCCACTGTGTGGCTACTGGCGGGGCTCGGGGGTGGGCCTCGAGGCAAAACAGGACAAGTGAATCCCCTTAGCGGTCGATGATAATTCAGCAACGAAGTTCAATATCTTCTGATCTAAAGTGGCAAGAGAACGAGTCCATGGCTCAATGGTTAGAGTGTTAGACTTCTAAACAAGTGGTCGCGGTTTCGAGCCACGGTTGATGCACCACCCTGGAGTCTGGGTATGACTGGCTGACGACAGCTAGTGGGCCAGAAATGGCCATTCCAGTTTCCCTTGTCTTTCCCAGCAACTTTAATCTACCAACACTGCTAGCCCCTGTATGGCTGCTGGTGGGGCTCAAGACTGCGCCCAAAGGCAGAACGGGAAGAGTGAACTGAGTTAGCAGTCGGTGAGTGTTCATCAATGAAAGTCGCTGGCTCCCCACTTTACCGTCAGGACTTACCTACAGACTTTGGTGTAAACCCATTCAAATTGTAGACCATCGGAGGATGGGTGGTAAAGGTCTCCAGGATCGGTGTCGGCGTGGTGCTGGGGGGTGCCGGTGTTGTTGTGGCGGCTTCAGTGGTGGTTTCAGCGGGGGCTGACGGGTTCTCCCTCGTCACGTTGTTCTCCGCAGGCAAGCTGCTGTTCTCCATATCCTGCCAGGGCTTAGGCAGTTCATTGTCAATCAGCTCGCCTTGACGACAGGTCCGAAGACAATCCATCCTTGAGGAGAAACGGTTTTCGTTACCGCCACAGCCGCTGTAGACGAACTGGTGGCAGCCGGTAGCGTTATGGAACCACAAGGTATGCGCATCTTGACAGTCTCCGGCTTCGGGTGGAAGTTGGCAGAGGGCTGTAAGACACGTTGGGTGTCAGTTAATTAAGAAGAAGTACTTACGAGTTCTAATCCTGGGCATTTATTAGTCTGGTAGGCTGTATCATGCCTGAGAAATGTTGATAAATGAAAGGCAATTAGCGTGGTTATCGTCAGTCAATCGTGTCACAACTCAAGGTTTAAGCAGCCCGATTGAATCTAGCCTGCTCCGAACTGCAAGCAAACTGGTGCATACATGTAAACAAGTAGAAGCAATCGGCAGAATGAGAGCTTCAGTTGCCCGATGTTTCGGAATTGAAGAGCTCGTGGGCCGCGAGCCGCTTGATCCATGGTTCCCTTACCCAAAACCTATTACTAAGTCCCCTTACTCCCCTCCTCTCCCTCCACATTGGGTGCTGAGTCTTGACCTGAGAAGAGTAATTAGTCACGTTATAGTCATCGGTGAACCCTGGTTCCAACACCAATAACGACGAGCCAGATAGTCGAGCCATCATCCCATCAACGCCGAACACCAGTGACCACATTTCAGTTTTAACGACTCGAATTTCGGTAATCAGCAGCGGCAGAGGACCCACTGTGAAGGCGAAGCCGATAATTTTCCTATATATGTGGTAGTATGGAGACTGCATCCTATAAATAGTGCAGCCCCTTGAACAAAAACTACCCGTACCTGATGCTATGTTTGATGATGTATTCAAGCTGGAATCTAAAACGCCAGCGATTACAGCTACTTCCTTCTGTGTTAATTAATATTATAAACCTCAATCTCAGCCAATGGCACCACGCGCCTGTGGTTTGCTGCCAGAACTTCATGCTCAGAGACCGAGAACTCCAGTTACCGGCCTGTGGTGATTCAAATGTTGATTTTTAACTGTGTGTGTGTTATTGCATGCTCAAACCTGGAGCTTCAAGATAAAGAAAAACGAGCCTCTCCAGAGGAAGAAGAAGATGTGATCGTTAAAACAGGAAGTCTTTTGGTTGGTCGTTTTGGATTCTTACCTGGAGCCATCATCAGAGCCATTCGCAAACAAGGGTACTAGATCCACAAAGTGGCTACTATTGATAGGGTTCACTGCAAAAATTACTAGTACTCGTATTAACCTCTGGGTCGTAGTGGATGCGAACATAGATAGTAGGTCCATACCTGATTCGTTAAGCTCCGTGATTTCATCACAGAGCAGGGAAAGCTTTTGTGCAGCCAACGCTCTACCACTGAGCTACGAGTCTCACCGTGCTAAACCCTCCTAACAAGTAAGTGAGCCTAGTAGTCATGCTGGTGGATTATAGATGATTGCTCAGAAAATCCTGCTGTATCCGTACTGGTGAATTCAATGTGGGCTGTAGGCTGTACGCAAAA